AAAATAAAAATTTGAATTACAATAAAATAAACTCATTAGTTTGCTTGTATCATTATATATAATATAAATATTTGTTTTCAAAATCCAGTTATTCCAATTATTGGTTGGGAAATATTTACTATTCCACATATAATATACACAATCTTGTCAATTTTACTTAAACATTTCCAGGGCATATTATTTTTTAAAACATGAAATATTTTCAATCTTTGAATAGCTCGTTCTATATGAACTCTGGCTCTAGCTATATCAGTGTTCATTGTACCGTCTTCAAAAGATAGTTGTTTATTTTTTTTTAAAAAAGGGGGACGAAATAATTTAACACCTGCCCTAGAACATTCCTCTTCAATAAGAAAACCTTTATCAGCCATAACACCATCACCAATATCACACTTTTCTAAAATATTACTTTCTACAAATATATGTTTGTCAGATGCTTTGCCACCATACACATCACTAACAAAAGTTATTAGGCCATCTGGAGAAATGCCTACCATAAATTTAATAGTATGTTTACCTTTATAAAAAGAATAAGTTMTAATTCGACATGACAAACATTTTGGAACTTCGATAGGAGTTTCTGTTCCATCAACTACGACCCTAGTACTTGTGAAATTTATGAAACATTTAGGAATATTTTTAGAAATACTTGATTTAGAAGGCCACAAAACTAAAGGTTTTAAAATTAAATATAACAAATCAATTGTTTCGTAAAAGTAATTTGTACAAGTACTTTTACAAACACCAAATAAAACTGCCAAGCATTTGTAAGATGTATTTAGTTTTAACTTCATTAATACTAACACTATTCTATGAAGAATATCAAGAGAAAAATTGATATTATAATTTAAACTTTTTATCACAAATTCACCAATATTGACAAGTTTTAACAACTTGTCCATGCTGGGTATCCCTGTTAATGCAACTAAATCTTCATCATTTCTAATCAAATSCATAATACTTCTTCTAAAAAGAGAATCGGAATGAAATGTATTAACTTGGACTTCTTTATCGGCAGTTTTAATTTCATTTGATAATACTGTAGTTTTTTCTTGGGTCAAGACATCAGTTTGTGTAGAAGATGAAGATAATTCCTCTACATCAGTAATAGGTGTACTATCAGGTAAACTAAAAAAAACAAATTTAATACAATTTATTCAAATCAATTATTTGGTATTTGTTGAATTTAACTTACCAGTCATTTTGAAATAAAATTTGACAATGTTCTTTATTTTGACGACGTTGTTTTAATCTCTCAGCTCTCTTAATGATTTTTTCTTTTGTTGGAGTTAAAAGCACTTTGTCCAGTGACCGAACAGGTAAATTTTTTGAAGGTACCACACCAATCTTCAGCCTTCTTATTTTTGCTGGTGAACTAGCTATACATGGTATATACTTTTCATAAAAAAATGCATTTTTGATTGATATATTATTTATTATTAATCTTTATTCTTTACTTTTTGAGCTTGGAATAAAATCACTGTCATCAAAATGTGTAGAACATACAAAAGCATATTTTGGCACTTCTTTTCCAATTTTTAGAGCAGTCTTCCATTTTAATTTTAAATCTTTTTGTTTAGGGAAGGAATGGAATGTTATAGTTGACGTAGACCTGGTAAATGGTAGTTAAAATAATTACTAAATATGAATATAATATATTTTTAAGTAGGTAATATCTGCAATACAACTAAGTAATACTTATTCTATTACCTAGCACTAAGCACTAGCTTTCGAATATAATATTCCAAATTAAATTAAGTATCAAGTTTGAAAGACAAGAATATGTGTAACATTATTAAGAAATAATCTATTATTATTCAACATTAACTATAATTTTTAAAGCAACAATGTCAGAGTGGATTCAAACTATATRAGGATTTTTACCTTTGTTTAATGTATACGTATGATGTCAGTGGCGGCGTGACAAGGGTTCTATGGGACCCGGGTCTCATGGTGATTTAGGTGGGTGGGTGGTAGTGGGTACTGGGTAGATGCCGTGGTGGTCATGTTTATTACTTTTCTATGGTGTGTACCTATTATTAAAATTATTTTGAACATTTTTAGTACTTAAAAATATTTTTCAAAAATTTTGGGGGGGTGGGTGGTCCCTAAAAACGTTTTTGTCTCATGAATGAAAAATTTTCACGCCGCCACTGTATGATGTAAATATAATAAATATTATGCTAAAATTTGGTAGACTTACATTTGTTTATTTTTGCATTGTGGAGTACAACAATATCGTTTACAATATTTCTTTRCACATTCATTTATTGAAACATAATTGTGATCAGCCATATCTTAAATTTTCTCACTGGCAGCAGGTAGAGTTAAATACTTAAATGGAAAATAGGAAAAATTCGCAAATAAACAGTATTCAACACTAAACAAGTAATAACA